TGGTTCATGAAATTTTAGTTCACACATAAAGCTAAAGTCCGCCTGCTCTAGCAAAAAATGCCCACTGTGCGAAGAAAATATAAAATAATAAAAAGATAACAGGCAGAATGTGACGAAACAGACACACATTTATTCTTTGCAACTGTGAAAAAATGTATGTTCTTGAAATTCGTTGATTCAGGCATGTGCAGTAGTCTATGAGTGCTGCTGCAGAATGGGATAAAATTTTGTTTTATTTGTCCTTCTCGTTGCCTTTGATTTGAGTGTTACCTCATTTTTTGATGTTTTTCATCACTTTGCGTTTAACACGCGAAACACATACGTTATTTTACCGCCAGCTGCTACATTCGAGAACTGTATCGAGATCGGGAAAAGTAAACTGTGAGCACGATCTGTAAGTACGAAAACTAAACTGTAGTATGATCTCCATCTGTTGCTCGCTCGCGCACACTACATCTCTGGTTCACGCAGAAATATGCCCAACTTTTGGAACATTGTATTTATTTTTATCCGATGTGGTGAAGTACTCCTATGTGCTCTGTTCCATTTCGCTCACTTTTTATGGAATTCCTTTCATCTGACAACTTTTACATCATTCTTTTCAAACATCCGTGTTGGAACAAAAAATGCACATTTATGCAGATTCCGTGCTTACCACCCAAAGCACTATATAAAAAGCAAATAAAAGCATCCATCCCAGATGGAAAAATAACAATAAAATTGATTGTAGTTCTATGCACCGTCTATTTTGTGACTTTAGTTTATCTAGATGCCTCACACTGTAAAATTTTGGATATTTATGCGGATATGTGGTATAAAAACAACATGAAAACTTAAAAATACGGGTATGATAGTCTTACTGACGAGCTCTTATGAATAATCTACTTTAACAAAAGCTCAAAAATGCTTTTATCTGAGGGTTTACATCGGTCTGAGTATCCAAAATATTGAAGACGGCTCTAAAAACTATTCTACTACATATGGCCGGAAGAGGTCCATGACAAGGAGGAAATTAAGGCTTAAAAGTGTGATTTTCATGACAACGCAAACAGCGCTTCTTTTTCTCAAAAATAGAGCGAAAAAGTGGAATTTCTTGCATAATTATTGAAAGGAACATCTGTGGTGGGTAGTGAGTGTGAGTAACACAACAACATTTAACTTTTTAAGCATGAGCTTCTAAGCTAATGATTCGAAGATTCTGGGATCCCAGAATCCTATCCTAGGTTGGAATGCGAAAACTACATTCCTCATCTGGTGTGGGAAAATAAGCTCTTAGCTAAAAGAATAAAAGCCAAAGGTTATGTATTCTTTTTTACTGTGCGTAATATTCGCTATCTGTTCTTATACTACCTCACTCATTACCAGTGAAGTTGGTTAATGTAAAAGTACGAATAGATAGCGATTGTTACACACAGAGTAAAAAAGAATACATAATCTCTGGCTTTTTTTCTTTTCTTTTCTTTAGCAAACAAGAGACATCTGTGCAGTCACGTTTTTTTGTTCGAACGATACGAAACAAAAGAATACATAGGTTAGTTTCTCTCTTTGTATTTCCAATATCTTTCACACGCAAAAATGACTCAAATGCTGCATGTATCGCCAACTCTATCAATTTCCTATCGTCAAGTTCCAGCTGTTCCAGATCAATTAAAACCTACTTTAGTCTTACTGCACAGTTTCACAACTACACATGATCTATTTGAACCACAGTTTACTGATACACAATTATTAAATACATGTAATCTACTTGGTATCGAAATTTGACATGGCCTTACATAAACATTTTGAATAGTCCAGCTTACGGTTCGCTCATACAGAAAAGATCATAATACTGTTCAATACACGATGTTTAAATCAATATATCTAAAGAAGATTAGGCTGCATTTAGCTACGTTTGGTATTTCCTAATCTCATTTAAAAATAAGTGACGAAAGTAGAATTTCTAGAAAACTAAGATTTTTCACATATCCATTCACAGAAAATAACTATTTTTAAAGAAACATATTTGACTCTAAAAATATTTCAAATTAGTTGTTTTACTCAGAATTGAATAAATTACATTTTAAAAATAAGTCACCTGTCTAACATGCTCCAGTTGCACAAAAAAGTTACAATTCACTCATATATACGTTGCATTAATATCTGTCTTTGTTGATTTTACTGAATAATATACCTGCTTCATGCTTGAATAGTATTGACAGTAGTTATTTATTAGTAGTAGGCTCGGAAATAGTTCTTTTGTACTAGTGAAAATACTGCGTAGGAACGCAGGAAAAGTGATTAGTAGTTACCACTAATACTATTCAAGCACGAAGCAAGTATATTATTCGATACCATCAACAAAGAAATATGTGTAAATTAAGTCTTGATATTAATGTATGTAATACAGTTAATTTAAGAATATTATCGGTATGTATTAGAGTATTTTGCTGCATTCGAGCGCAGGACTTTTACGAGAGGGCAAAAAAAGCTTTTTGAGCCATGTGTAGCATGCGTGATGATGGTGGGTGGCATACTTACACTCGTAGAAATACAGAACTTTGCTTTTGTACTAAACCGATAGGTTTCAGCCCACTTTTACCAAAAAGATATTTTGTGGCTGGAATTAGTTTCAGTGACCTTCATGTAGTCTAATATCTGCATTGAACGGAATTTAACCGAAAATTGCTTTTATCTAACGGAACAGCCTTTTTTGTGAAAGTCGACGGTTAGCCCCTGAAAATTTCGATGGATTTATTTTGTTTGGAAACGTACTTCAAATTTATCGTTCGATGCAGTTTTGAGCCTAGATTTCGAATCTGACGTTTATCTAGTAAATATTTCCAGGCGATACCTGATAATGAAGAGGAGAAAAAAACACAATATGAACGAAACACAATATTCGAAGTGACTATAGAAATGAAATCTGCTGAAATTAATATCGTTCTTTGATGGATATAGTAAGTTAATAGCGCTTATCATCGAGTATCTACTTCACATATGCTGATATATGTGTGGACATGTATCAGCGTAGATGTCATTAGATAGTGCTCGACCAGTATTTTTGTATGGCATATAAATTAACATAGGAAAGTGAGTAGAAGCCTGGGAGTAATAAATACTGTGATTCATGCATTCAGATGGGTCGAAAAAACTTGTTAGGAATAAGAGAATGTTTTGGCTCAAGTTCCCTGTTCAAATTTTCTCCTGCTCATCTTCGAAATTTCCCAATTTTATACTTAAATAACTTAATTTTTTGTTCGACAGTTTATTGAAGCTGCCATCGAAGATCTGAGGATGGAATGATTTTTAAAGTGGCGTCTGGAAATATTCGTACGGAGCCACCACAATAAATGTTAAAACTGGCCATATGATGTGTGCAAAATTCTCAGTAACGAACGATGCAGGAAAAAGAAATAATCTTTTCTGATTTGTAGCCAACTTGATAGAGTCTGGTTTTTGACTCGTGCGTTGGCTATATACAAGTGGAGAATTCAAAAGATTTTTCCCACTAGTTTTCTAGAAGCATCTACTTTTGAAAAAAGAAACGGCGTAAATTAGAAATCAGATTCTATCGAGTTCTAAATGTAAACTTTACCTACAAACAAGAAACGTATTTAGAGCTTGTTTTCCATACGAATAACTGGACAGTGTGTAAAAATGTCTTTTCTACAAAAGTCAAGTCAAAATAAACAAAAAAATAGGGGACCGATTGCTGACCAAGTTAACCTCCTCATTTCTTTGAAAACCGGAAGGGTACCCGAATATATACTCTTCGGTTTCAGCTAATACCCTGTTCGATATCTGGGCATTTTTCTGCAAAGCTCTTCGGTTTTGGGATCCTTTACGTTTCCGAGCAAACCTCCCCTGTTTTAAGTTTTTTCATCTATGAAGCAAAGTTCAGTTGCGTCACAAAAAGCAGATTGGCAGAATATCTAGGTTTGTTCAAAAATTCAATGTTGTTTTGTGACCATCCTTCAACTGATCCTCGAGAATACTGGAAGATGCAACGTATATATGAATGAATCGTAACTTTTTTTGTACAATTGGATCATAGTGGTATTTGACCTATAACTATTCTTCGTGTGAACCAACCTTAAAAATTATTTTTTTTTGTTTTTTCTTCACTGTGTCTCCTGTTACGTGACCAAATTTAATCTCTTTAGCTCATCATCTTACTAAAATATGGGGTTTGACTTAGAAAAAATGTCGCAGAACAAGATTATTTTCGAAATATCTTAAGTAAACTTAAGGCAAAATGCTTCTTGTCATATATCATTCGATTCGTCTCGCCATACAGAATCACCCTAAATACAAACGCCAGACAGAAAAAGGTTTAGGACGACCAGGAGGCTCAATGGGTCTTTCTTAAATTGAATGCTGTTTCTATCGAATGGTATATAAAGAAAACTGGTTAACGAGAAAATAAATGGATATTATAAATATGAACCACGTTGACCTACCGGTTTGCTCAGATGCTCAAGAGTATTTCGAATCCTAGACTACCCAGTAACATTTTCTTCAGACTGTCTTATATATCGTTTTGTAGCCTTTGAAATTCTTACTGGACCGGTGTATAATAGTTGATATTTGCTGTAAGATTGACTGCACGAAAGAGACAACTAGAAAATACGATATGTAATTGTGACCCATTCCAATGTGTGCTTAACTGTTTGAAACATATTCGAGACTAAAATAAGAAAAATCGCAATATTTTTGTCTCCTTTGTCGAAATTTTTTCCATCAAATTTATCAATCTTAGGGTTACATGATAAACGTATACACGACTCGTATGCTCCACAAAGGACTACTTATAACTTTTGATTGTCAACATGAATTTCTTTCAAAATTTAGCATCATTTATTACTATTGTAGTACTCCAAAGCTATGATGGGAAATTAAAAAAGGTTGCTCTGTCTTCTTCATTCATCTGATGCATCCGAACAATCCCAAACATCATTATACAGCCAATTGATGGGAATACACTAACCTGTAAGAAAATAATACCATATTAAGTTGTCTCATTCAAATTCTGATTCGGAATGGCCAAAACGTTTCGCAAAAAAGTTATTTTCAGTGGCTTTTGTCACAAACTTTTCAATTAATTTTTTCTAAACTTATGTGCATGAGAAATGAGCGTCAAAGTAGCATTATTATTAATATCGTCTTACCTGTTAGACATTGGTGTTGATCTGGTGGACAGCGCCAATATTTCTTACAGAGAGTCGCTGTTTCGTCAAGTTCCCACTCCAAATCCCAAAAGGCATCGTCCATAAAACATGCAAGTGAGCTACAGTGCGGAGAGAGACAGCAGCCTCCTATACATATTTTTGACTATTCTCAGTGGTTTAATCTGGGCTTCGATTATTCGACATCCAGTAGGGAGGGACAGAAGGAATCAAAATAAGTTGGCCTAGCGATTTAAGAACAAATCCAAATGTGTCGCAATATTGATCAAATTTTATATAGCCAGGTTTATTTGGTTGCAACGATAATGTGTTAGTTGAAGTATTTAGAAATGATATTTGTGCACGTTCAATATATTTTCTAACAGTATTACACGCATCCAGATCATCTTCTCGACATAAATTATAAGATAATTTGATATTACTTACATAGTCAAATTCATCGTAGTTGCTCAAGGGGCAATCATCATTTAAATTACCTAACATCCTTGCGAACAAACAAGCTTGTTCACAACGAAAACGATATTTTTGTGTGAATGCTGGGCAGTTAATTGTTGTTTCATCGTCACCTTGAGGACAGCCAACAAATCCATCGCGAATGCGGTACATTGATATGCACCGCTGTGAGTTCGCACAACGATACAAACGATTTAACCAACAGTTTCTGTCATATTGTGGACCAGTAAAATTAGGTGTTATCCCGTTGTGATTGCAAAAACTTGTTTCTATATGATTTAAGACTAGTACTAAATTAGTTGGATTTATTTCGGTAATGTTGTCTACAGGTACATGACCTTGATAACCGACACATTTGATACTACCAGTAAACGAAGTAGCTCGAACCCGTACTTTGTCAAGGTCTAATAATGTTATAAAGAATGGCCTTAAAACGGGTTTAACAGGATATTTGATGTAGTTAGAATTTGGTAAACCAGTCAATAAACAATGGTTGAGAATTTCACCGTTACACGACCATCGTTTACAGCTACACTCGGCTTCAGTCCATCCGAACTGACATTTAATATAGTGGGAACAAGGGTCGATGAGTATTCTAGAATCATCGTAAAGTAAACAACTACCATTCACTGCAGTTTCCATTGTGTACTTTTTATAAATCTTGCAGATGAAATTTTGATCACGAAAACTTGCACAAAAAACGTTTGGCTCCTCTTTCATTCTCTCTTGTTCATTTATAAACTGACCGTCACCATAAGAAAAATATTGATGATGAGGAAATGATTCATCGCAATCAAGCGTGTCTGGTTTAAATGTACACCAACGAGATTGTTCAATATTATTTTGATTTTATTCATCGGTTCCATCCATACAATCACGCTCACCTATGATATGTAAGTTACAAATAAAAGTCGAAAAAGAAAACATTACCTACCATCAAGAAAATATTGTTCAGTTATGCACATTCCATTAGTACATCGATATTTGTCCGGTTTACATTCATTAAACTCCAATTTCTCGCAACTATCTTCGTCTGTACCATCAATACACTGTTGTTTTCCATCACAAATATTTCGCTAATCCAAACAAAGTGCGCCATAATCACATTCAAACAAAGGTTCATAACAAGTGATATTTCCATGAATTTGACTTCCTAATATGTACTTTTCCTTCAATTTAAACTGATACTGAACGGCTGCTTCGAAACTCTCTTTAGCTTTGATTAATTGATATTCACGATGTTTACCAAATGTACCGTACTTTAGACATTCGCATAAAATTTCATTATCATCGAACTTTTCTCTTAAACAAAATTTACTTTTGATGCCTGCATGAGGATTGTTGACCCAAAAATAGAACTAGGGTTTCGAAACTTAAGAAAAGTCAAGTGAGTTCGTCAAAAGTGCAAGATTTTCACTTATTCTCTCAGTTGATAACTTCCATAGTAATGACATTAATATGTGTTGTATATGATTCGACTGCTGGTGCTGGAGAATCGATTCGAATTGCTGGACTCGTTTCTTCTCTCTAGAACATTCACAACATATACACTAATTTGCAGAAGCCAGTTACCGCGAAGATTAAATAATAAAAACATATTAGCGATCTGACAGCTTTTCCATTTAAAAATAAAAGACATAACAAATGAATAACTCACAGTTTCTGTTTCTTGTACCGGTGCTCTATCTAATTCTTGTTGTTCTTGTGTTGATAAAATTTCTTCGGCGTTCGATGTTGCTCTTTCCTCATTAATAACTGACGATGAAGAACGTGGCTTTTGCAACTGAGACGATGTTTAATCAAAATATTCTTGTACATGTACGCCCTCTTGTTGTGTTAAATCAGACGTTTCTTGTAGTTGATTTTGATTTATTGGTCGTTGTTTTGGAACTGCCGATCGAATGACGTTCGTAATTGGAGATCGAATTAGATTTGTGATTGTAGGTCGAACAAGATCACGAAGTGGAGGATGAATGACACTGTTAAATGGAGGTCGAAGAATATGTTGAATCCCTGCAGTATTGATTGTGTTCTAAAAAACAAGTTCGAAAATAATTGAAAGGAAAATTACGTTTTTCAGCCACTACATGTTAAACCCATACTCAGCAGTTTTGTGTGACCGCCTAGTTCAAGGTTCTAAGTGGCTGTTTGTTCTCAAATGGGTATCAGCTTTATGGCCTTCTGATCAGTTTTCCAGGGCTTCTAGTGAGTCAACTTCGCACTTTTGAGCGAGCTTCTCTTTCATATATTTCCTGATTTTTGATTTTCTCGAACGCTCAGAAAAAATATTAGAAATCTCGTGCACTTGAGAAACTGTTTGTCTTGGCCTCGGCTGCTGTTTATGTTTTTCCATCATCCGTACAACATATGCTTCGACACCTTCTTCATCTTATGGGATTGGCGCTGCATGAAGAGTATCATCGCCAGGGTAGTTTAGGTAATCTTCTTGGTCATGTGGTTGTGGTGAATAAGTCAATGAATCGTTCAAGCGTTTTCGTCCAACACTAAAAATACAGTCAAAGAAAGTTTTCAGTACTTGGTGGAAGAGGCTTTAATGCACAAATACTTACATTCGGGGCCCCGATGTTAATAAACCATCTACACGTTTGATGGCACTTCACGTTGCTAATGGTTTACAGAGTTTGAATCTCTGCAGGCGCTTCTTTTTCGTTTTCTTTTTTCTCCTTCAGTGTTTTCATTCTGCATATATATCTACTGCTACTAACGCTGAAGCGGGTTAGCGCGCTTCTATCAGCTACACATTTTGCTCTTTTATCTAGTTGCAGTCAACGGCGACGCGGGTGCTTCGTCAGCAAGTGCAGCTAGCCTATTTCTTATGAAATTTTATGCTTGGGATATCTCATGTTTCCCACTGTGACAGGGTTCTAAAGCAATTTAAGTATATCATTATGATCCCCTGGCTACCTTTCAAAAGTCACATGTGCTACTGTCACATCTTATTACGTTCGGGCATCCAGCAAAGTCGTTCCGAATCAGTTACGAAAACGCGCGTAGAGCTGCCAAATGTCTCATTTTGTAGAAAAATGTTTGTTCTACCAAACTAAAGTACTAGAGAAATTTTAATGTTATATACAAAGAATTTATAGTCTATAGTCGATTGTTTTTTGGCAGTTTTGCTCAGTTTTGGATGCTTATATTTCTGTCACAGATAACACAAAAATGTTTTTTTCCACTTCAGTTTGGTAGAGAAAACATTTTTCTTCAGAATGAGACATTCGGCAGCTCTAAGTGCTTTTTCGTAATTGGTTCGGAAGGACTTTGCTGGCATCGATTCTTAATCAGTGCATGCCTAATCCAGATCTAGATGCATTTTTATATCCCAGTTGGGATATATATCCCGATTAAGATATGCTTCCTTATGTTATTATGAATGTAAACGATAGTAGGGTTAAAAAGATGGAATCCAATTATTGTGAAATCCAGTATTACCCAATATTATTGTATATCCAATATACTGGGGTCAATAATATTGTACAATATCTTCAATCATGATTGGTATTGGTGCATGCCTAATCATTATATTTGTCATAACAAAACGTTATAATTTTCTTCTACATAAATATTTCTTATGAATCATTAGAAATCTAATGGAATTGTTCTTGATAAATTGTGAACAAAAATGCTATCTGCTTGTTAATTGAATGGTAATATGTGTTATTGTCAAAATGTTACGATGAAACTGAATATTGTGTTTGTTAATAATTCTGTTCGTACAAAATTTTTTAACAGCTTTATCATGCTGACTGTGCGTTACTAAGAGATGCCATTTCAAATTGGTTTTATCGATTTAATTTTTTGTAAAGAATTTAGGATTTTAATTGATTCTACTGCATCTTGGATGCATAGCGACCCACTAGATAATAAATATTCAAGATTGGGTATGGATTTTAAAAAATATATGACCTTCTGAATTGAAATGTCATCGTCTGTTTTTACTATTAGTTTTCTTAACGGAAGTATTGATGGCGCACAGCATTCACCAATCGAAAAACAAAAATGAATATTCAAATATCGAAGATTCGGTAAATAAGGTAGAAGTAAATTTAATGACGTAAAGCTAGATGAAATTATTAAATATTGAATTTGAGATGGTAATCTGAGTTGTATTGATTTCAGTTCATAGAAAAACCAATCATAGATGTTTTTAATGTTTGAACATGTAGTACGGCTTCAATAAGTCCATTCGAATGTTTTTTTGGATGAATGATTTTTAAATTTGTCAAATGAATAAGTTTTTTCAATATGATTTCGGATCATCCACTTAGGACGACCGGTTTGACAGAAGACGTCCATGTTCGAATGAAAGACATGCGTAATCGATGGCGCTGATTGCCAAAGACAACATGAGAGCGATCTGCACGTCTGTGGGTACCGATTTCGGGAAAACTAGGCTCCAGATCCAAAACACCACTTCTGATCTTGCCCGTTTGTAGAACATGACGAATTATATAAATGAAAAAACTTCTATGATAGTCAGATATAGTTTGATAGAGTTTTAGGAATTTGAAACACTCACAGAAGCGCTAAGAGATTGGGTCTGTTTTTCTAGATATCTTGTGTCTAAGTCCAGGAAAATATATGCATTTTGTGCATGCACTAGATGCAGGACATGTTGATGAATATATTGAAAGAATGAAGAAAGCAAGCTCAAGAAAAAATAGTTATTTCGCCGACCGGTTAGTGTAAATGGAACTTCTCTTTTACCAGTAGACAGCTAAGAGTCTGCGAATTCCAAACACTTTACCGCTTCGCATTCGCTTTATGTTATATAGAAACGCTTTTTCCGGATAGGTCTCGAATATCGAAGTTATTTTTTACTTCTCAGGGACTTCGCAAAGTTGGTTGGAAACCAAAAGTGTCATGCCATTAGATAGACCATCGATCGAATCACATCCCACACTATCTCTTCGAAAAAGCGTACCTTCGATTTTTTGCTAATTGTCCGCCTGGGTGTCTGTCCTCTATGTATCGGTTGTCAAAACTCATTGGATAACAATGAAAACCAAATGAATAACTCAGTGTCATCTTCAAATTGGCAAGGTCACATTTGGGTTTTTATTGAAAAAGGTTTCAGAGTTGAATGGCTGGTATTCGAGAAACCAGTTTCCGAAAGTCTATAAGCTACTCCATAATGAACATTTTTCTAATAGCAGTCATCTATGATGCTTTTAAAGGAAAAGTAATTTTGTTCGACCTTGCTAGTTCATAGGAAAATATTTCATGGATATTTTTTCTATTCAAAGCATACTGTGTTACATATGCTTAGATAAGTTCAAAAATTTTAAAAGAAGCGGGGCCAGCTATCGTTGAAGACTTGAAACACATTTGTAATTATTCTCTTTTGTCGGGAGTTTTTCCGGAAAGATGGAAAATTGGATTGATACATCCACTATTTAAAGATGGAGATACAACTTTACCGACAAATTATAGACCTATTACACTTCTTCCCTCTGTGTCCAACATTCTGGAAAGATTGGTTTATAATAAGCTATATGAACATCTAAAAAAGCATGACCGCCTAACACCCTTACAATTAGGTTTTATTCGGGTGATTCTACGACAAATCAGTTGGTCGATTTGGTGCATGAAATAGGAGAAAATTTAGATTCTAATAAATTTACAATAGCTGTATTTCTTGATTTTGCAAAGGCGTTCGATAAAGTTTGGCATAAAGGACTTTTATACAAGTTAAAACAAAAAGGCGTGCGTCCCAAACTTTTA